AGGTTCTTACAGTAAATATCAGAGAAAAATCCCCTAATGCTTCCAGCAAGGAACAGGGAAAGGAACTAATTTGAATACGCTGGAACACACTGTTCTTCTTAAACAAGGTCTGTGCTCCGGAGAAATTATTTGACCACAGCCTAATCTGCTAGAGTTTTATCAGAGTCCAGCTGACCTGGAGGAATGGAAATGCACAGCTCCAGCCCTTTCTAGCCTTCCATGTGGGAAAAGGGAAATAGCCATCTCCAGACCACTCAAGCCATACTGTTTCACCTAAGGTGGGGGAAAAGAAGATAGAAGCATTTGTGAAGTTCACAGTCCAGAGGGACAGACTGACTAAAAGACTGAGACGCAATCATAGGTCTCTAGAACACTTCCCCTTTCCCCATACATTATGCCCATGTTACTAAAGGCCTATTTACATAAATTCCTTTCATCTAGTACATCTATGTTTGGCTATTTTTAAAAATTATAAGACATACTAAAATTAAAAAAAAAAAGTTGGAAGGGACAGAGCAAGCATTAGAAACAGACATGGCAGGGATGTTGGAATTATCAGACCAGAAACTTAAAACAACTATGATTACTATGTTAAAGGCTTGTGATGAGAAACTGGCTATTTTGAGTTGCTGTGTAGGTACTTTACAGTATAACAACCACGCTCACACCCAGAGTCTGGACATTTAGATAAGAATCTGAACTTAGGATTCCTGCCACAAGTTCCTACTTTGCTTTTCCCAGGGCACCTTTTAAAATAACTACTTAGAGTTGAGCCCACAAAAAGTTAGTGACCTCAGCCCCAACCCCCTTATAAATAATAGGTGCTGTCTTCTATCTCTTTCTTGCCTGTAACCTGGGATGGAGGACCACCCTTCTCCCAGCTCACTGCACAGACTGCTTCCCTTGTTTCTGGGATTTGTAAGTAATAAATCTTGTGACTTTACTTCCTCTATGTGAGTGTTTTAAACTGCATCTTCAATCAAAATGTCCCCATGGTTTTCATTTCCCCAGAGTGGGAGCCCAGATGATGAGGGAGCTACCTGTCATGTGGATGGCTTGTGCCTTCTCATTCAGCAGGTCATAATCTGTATATTCTTAATTTAATACACCAGCTACAGGCCCACCAATACAAGGCTTTAATGAATAAAGTAGACAGCATGCAAGAACAGATGGGCAATGTAAGCAGAGAGATAAAAATTCTAAGAAAAAAACAAAAGGAAATGCTAGAGATAAAAAACACTGTAACTGAAATGAAGAATGCCTTTGACGGGTTCATTAGTGTACTGAACATGGCTGAGGAAAGAATCTCTGAGTCTGAGGATATCTCAATAGAAACTTCCAAAATGAAAAAGAAAGACTGAAAAAAAAACCCCCACAATACTCAAGGACTACGGGACAACTACAAAAAGTATAACACATGTATAACGGGAATATCAGAAGGAGAAGAGAGAAAGGAATAGAAGAAATATTTGAAACAGAAATAAGTGAGAATTTCCCCAAATTAATGTCAGACATCAAATCACAGATACAGGAAGATCAGAGAACTCCAAGCAGGATAAATGCCAAAAAACTATACCCAGGCATATCATATTCAAATGGTAGAAAATCAAAGATAACTAAAAAGTCCCGAAAGAAGCCAGAGGAAAATACACCTTACCTGTAGCAGAAAAAAGATAAGAATTACATCTGACTTCTCAGAATCCATGCTGGCAAGAAAAGAGCAGAGTGAAATATTTAAAATGTTGAGAGAAAAGAATCAAAAACCAGAATTCTGTACTCTGTGAAATTATCCTTCAAAAATGAAGGAAAATAAAGACTTTCTAACACAAACAAAATTGAGGGAATTTGTTGCCTCCTTACAAGAAATGTTTAACAAAAAATTCTTCAGAGAGAAGAAAAATTATACATCAGTAATTCAGATCAACATAAAGAAAGGAAGAGCAACAGAGAAGGAATAAGTAATATAAAAACTCTTACTTTTCTTATTCATAATTGATTGAACAGATAATAGTTTTCTCAAAATAACAATAACAACAATATTGTATGTATGTTTATGTATGCTTATAGACAAGTGAAATGAAAGACAGCAATGATACAAAGGATGGAATGAAGGAATTGGCATTATTTACTTATTATAAAATACACTATCCATGAAATTATAGTGTTATTTGAGAGGACCTGGATTAGTTGTATATTTCAAACTCTATGGCAACCACTTAAAATAGGAAAAAAATGTATAACACATGTTAAGAAAGGAGAAAAATTGGAATCATATAAAAGGCTCAATTAAAAAAATAAGCAGAAAAAGAGTAGAAGACAAAAATAGGAAGGGCAACAACTCAAAGCAGTAACTAATATGGTAAATATTAATCCAAATATACCAATTATCACTTTATACATCAATGGTCTAAATAAACCAATTAAAAGACAAAGATTGTCAGAGGGTATCAAAGAACAAGACCCACTCTATGTTGTCTACAAGAAACCCACTTTAAACATAAAGAACATATTGGTTAAAAGTAAATGGATGGGGCTTCCCTGGTGGCGCAGTGGTTGAGAGTCCGCCTGCCGATGCAGAGGACGCGGGTTCGTGCCCCGGTCCGGGAAGACCCCACGTGCCGCAGAGCAGCTGGGCCCATGAGCCGTGGCTGCTGAGCCTGCGCGTCCGGAGCCTGTGCTCCGCAACGGGAGCGGCCGCAACAGTGAGAGGCCCATGCACCGCAAAAAAAAAAAAAAAAAAAAGAAAAAGTAAATGGATGGAGAAAGATATACCAAGCCAACACGAATCAAAAGAAAGCAAGTAGAAGTAGCTATATTAATTTCAGACAAAGCAGACTTCAAAGCAAGGAAATTTATCAGGAAAAAGGAGGGGCATTACATAATGATAAAGGGGCCAATTCTCCAAGTTCTCCAATTCTCCATAATCCTTAACATGTACTAACCTAACAAAAGAGGGGCAAACTACATGAGGCAAAAAATGATAGAACTGTAAGGAGAAATAGATGAATCCACTATTCTACTTGGAGATTTTGACACCCCTCCCTCAGGAATGGATAGATCCAGCAGGCAGAAAATCAGTAAGTGAACTCAAAATCCCAACAATCATCTGGATATAATCAACATCAATAGACTACTTCATCCAAAAGGAGCAAAATACACATTCTTCTCAAGTTCACATTGAAATTCAACAAAATAGAAAGATAGCCATAAAACATATCATAACAAATTTAGAAGACTAGAAATCACACAATGTCTGCTCTCAGACAGCAATGGATTTAACTAGAAATCAATAACAGAAATATAAATGGAATCCCAAAAAAACATGGAGATTAAACAACACACTTCTAAGTAACATATGGGTCAAAAGAGACATCTCAAAATTTTTTTAAAATATTTTGAACTAAATGAAAGTGAAACACAACTTATCAACATTTCTAGGATGCAGACAAAGCAGTGCTTAGAGGAAAATTTAAAGCAGTGAATGCATATATTTAACAAATTCAATGTCAATTCATGATAAAAACTCTTAGTAAACTAGGAATAGAGGGGAACTTCCTCAACTTGATAAAGTAGCCACAAAAAACTTACAGCTAACATCATACTCAATGATGAGAAACTCAAAGCTTTCCTATTATGTACAGGAATAAGGCAAGGATGTCCCTTCTTACCACTCTTTTTCAAAGTTATACTGGAAGTCCTAACTAATGTAATAAGAAAAGGAAATAAAAGGTATACAGATTGGAAAGGAAGAAATAAAGCTGTCTTTGTTGGCAGATGACATAATTATGTAGAAAATCCAAAAGAATTGACAAAAATCTCCTAGAACTGATAAGCAACTAAGGCAAGGTTGCAGGATACAAGGTTAATACACAAAAGTCAATCACTTTCTGTATACCCACAATGAATAAATGGAATTTGAAATTAAAAATACAATACCATTTACATTAGCACCCCCCAAAACTGAAATGTTTAGGTATAAATCTAACAAAATATTACAATACCTTATAAGGGAAACCACAAAACTCTAATGAACAAAATCAAGGAACTAAATAAATGAAGAGATTTTCCATGTTCATGGATAGGAAGACAATGTTAGTAAGATGTCAGTTCTTCCTAACTTGATCTATAGATTCAATGTAATCCCAATCAAAATCCCAACAAGTTATATTGTGGGATATTGACAAACTGATTCTAAAGTTTATATGGAGAAGTAAAAGACCCAGAATAGCCAAAAAAATATTTAAGAACAAAATTGGGCTACTGATATTATCCAACTTCAAGATTAATTATAAAGTTACAGTAAGTATGCCTGTGTGGTATTGGCCAAGAATAGGCAAATAGATCAATGGAACAGAGTCCAGAAATAGAACCACCTAAATATAGCTAACTGACCTTTGACAAAGGAGTAAAGGCAATACAATGGAGAAAGAATGTCTTTTCAACAAATTGTACTGGAACAACTGGACATTCACATGCAAAAACATCAATCTAGACACAGACCTGATACACTTCTCAAAAATTGTCTCAAATTGGATTAGAGACCTAAAATAAAATGTAAAACTATAAAACTCCTAGAAGATAAAATAGGAGAAAACCTAGATGACTTTGGGTATGGCGATGACATTTTAAAGACAACACCAAAGTTACGACACATGAAAGAAAGAACTGATAAGCTAGATTTTATTAAAATTAACTTTTTCTGCTCTGCAAATGACACTATCAAAATAGTAAAAAGACAGGGCCAGAATGGGAGGAAATATTTGCAAAAGACATGTCTGATAAACAAAGAACTCTTAAAACTCAACAATAAACAGAAAACCCAATTTAAAAATGGGCCAAAGACCTTAACAGACACCTGATCAAAGAAGATGTACAAATGGCAATAAACACGAGAAGATGGCCATATCATATGTCATCAGGGAAATGCAAATTAAAACAAGATACCACTACACACCTAACAGAATGGCCCAAATTCCCAACTGACACTATTTTTATGTCACCAGATGCTGGGAGGATGTAGAGCAACGGGAACTTCATTCATTGCTGGTGGGAATGCAGAATGGTACAGCCACTTTGGAAGACAGTTTGGTGCTTTCTTACAAAACTAACATATTCCTACCACGTGATTCAGCAATTTTGCCCCTTGGTATTTACCCAAATGATTTGAAAACTTATATCCACACAGAAACCTGCACACAAATGTTTACAGCTGCTTTATTCCTAATTGCCAAAACTTGGAAGCAACCAGGATGTGTTTCAGTAGGTGGATGGATAAATAAACTGTCAGACAATGGATTATTATTCAGCACTAAAAAGAAATGAGCTATCAAGCCATGTAAAGATGTGGAGGAAACTTAAATGCATATTACTAAATGAAAGAAGCCAATCTGAAAAGGCTACATACTGTATGATTCCAACTGTAGGACATTCCGGAAAAGGCAAGACTATGGAGACAGTAAAGCGATCAGTGGTTGCCAGGGATTAGGGAGGAGGGTGAGATGAATAGGAAGAGCACAGAGGATTTTTATGGCAGTGAAACTACTCTGTATACCATAATGGTGTATACATGTCATTATACATTTGGTCAAATCCATGGAATGTACAACACCAAGAATGAACCCTAATGTAAACTATGGTCTTTGGCTGATAATGATGTGTCAATGTAGGTTCATCAATCATAACAAATGTACCACTCTGATGGAGGATGTTGATAACAGGGGAGGCTATACATGTGTGGAGGCAGAAAATACACGGGAAATCTTTGTACCTTCCTCTCAATTTTTCTGTGACTCTAAAACTGGTCTAAAAAACTAAAGCCCTTAAAATACAAATACACATATATATACTATTATACATAATTATATTAAATTATATAAATAAACCATATAATAGTATGTATAAAAAACACTATAATATATACTATTATTTTTATTTCCTCATAATCATTTCTTCTTAACAAACAAACAAAAAACCAGAAAATTCAATAGGCCCAGAAACAAAGCACATGTTCCTTCAGGGCCTGGGGATCACAACATTGCATCTATAGGGAAGGAAATGTAATGGGGATCCAGCTGTGGAGATAGATAGATATAAAATAATGCTATAATAATGTAGCCAGTATTTATTGGGTTTGAGCCTTTAGAGATAGCCAAACAGAAAACTTAGAAGTGGTTGCAGATAGAAGGTAACTGTGGGCTACAATAAAGATAGAGGAAAGGGTAAGGGCACTGATATTCTCATTTTACAAGAGAAGATCAAGAAATAATACCAAAAGTTGAAGGACAAGAAATAGATGCTTATATAGATTAAAATTTCAAAAGTAAAAAAATAAAAGAATTACAAATATAAATACTGAAACATCAGAAGAAGAGGAGGGGTAACGAAGCCAAAGACATATTATGTTTTAGGTTGGGAAGTCAATAGCATGAAGTTGGTAGATCAATAAATAAATACAGCTATAAGCACATTATCTATAGTTTTTTTTTTTTTCTTAAGTGGCCACTTGGAGAATAAAACACAGTTAAAGTATATTTCCTCTGAGAGCAGAAGTGCAGGTGGGGAAGGAATAAACAGAAAACTACTGCTTTCAGAAGTTGTTCTCTACTGCTCTGATGCCATGTACTTGAAGTAGTTTAGTTAAAAAGAGTTAATGGGGGCTTCCCTGATGGCGCAGTGGTTGAGAGTCCGCCTGCCGATGCAGGGGACACGGGTTTGTGCCCCGGTCCGGGAAGATCCCACATGCCGCGGAGCGGCTGGGCCCGTGAGCCATGGCCGCGGAGCCTGCGGGTCCGGAGCCTGTGCTCCGCAACGGGAGAGGCCACAGCAGTGAGAGGCCCGCGTACCGCAAAAAAAAAAAAAAAAAAAAAAAAAAGGAGTTATTGGGAGCTTTACAACTCACTGGATCAGTGGTGAAGGACAAAGGAATGAAGGCTGACCTTGTTTGAGCCCAAGTGATTGGGAAAGGGAAGTCAAAGACACAGAAAACCAAGATATGAAATTGGTAACTGATTTGAGAGAAGAAGATAAGGACACTGGGAGATGCAGTAAGAATACAACAAGTGGTTAAATAAGTGTCTGGAAAAAATCTGGAGTAAAATATGAATTTGAGAGACATTTACATATATGTTAGAGTTAAACTGATAACAACAAAAGTTTGAAGAGGAAAACAAAAGAGAAAAAAAATTTAGAAGCATCTCAGTTAAACTTAGAGCACCCTGGTGAAAGTGCAGGAGGAAGAAGAAAGAGAAATGCCATAGTGTTAATGGGGTCCAAGGAATGAGAAAGATCACCAAAATGTGTCCACAATTATAAACACTGACTCCATCAATGATAATCAAAAGAGCAGAAAATACAAAGATGCCTCTGGTATTCACAGACAATACTTAAAATAGGCTCATGGAAGTTGAAAGCTGATCCATGGCTTTCCTCACTATTTATAATTGGCTATCTCACAACACAGTTGAAAAAAACTGCTATTTATGATTTTAACTGCATAACACATTAAACAAAAGAAAACAAAAGCATTGTGCCAAATCTATTCTAAATCATACTCATCTGTTGTGATTGGCTCCAAAAGCATACCATTTGGGAGAACAAATACATGCAATCACAAAAAGCTTAAAGCCAATTTTTTTTTTTTTTTTTTTGCGGTAGGCGGGCCACTCACTGTTGTGGCCTCTCCCGTTTGCGGAGCACAGGCTCCGGACGCGCAGGCTCCGTGGCCATGGCTCACGGGCCCAGCCGCTCCGCGGCATGTGGGATCTTCCCGGACCAGGGCACGAACCCGTGTGCCCTGCATTGGCAGGCGGACTCTCAACCACTGCGCCACCAGGGAAGCCCCTGAGGGGATTTTTTAAATTTATTTTTTGTATTTCTTAAAATACAAAAAATTTCTCCCTCAATAAGCATATGTTGCTTTTATAATCAGAAAAAATATATAAAAAGCAAAGCTTTGAAAGAATAACTTTGTCATTTAAACCAGTAGCTCAATTTTTTTTTTTAATAACAAAGGGTTTTTGTCATAATAACATGGTCCCCCAATATATTTGAAAAACTAAGTGGAGACCAGCTTCCTTAGGCAGTTTAAATCTTTATCACCAGACAGAAAATACTTCATTGTTTGGAAGTAGTCCTGAAGTGTTGCTTAGAAACTAGCTTATTTGAGTCCAAATCCCATCCAGTGATTGTGAAATAGGCATGTAAAGTGGCCTTTTATCCCATTTCTCTGATTAATATTTTATTCAAGATATTGGTATTATTTAAGTAATTCTTGGTTATGCCTCAGTAGCAAATAAATCCTGCAATTTCAGTGGTTTAACTGCAAGGGTTTGTCTTGTTTTGTTTTGTTTATCAATCCAATGCAAATCGGTTGGGCAAGCAGTGTCTTGGGGCCCCAGGCTCTTCAATCTTGCAACTCCAGCATCTTGGATTTCTCCAGTTACACAGATAAAAGAGAGACAGAGATGGTAGTGCCACACTGGGCCTTAACTGCCCTGGTCAAGAAACCATCTCTTTACTTATATACTTTTTTGCCTGAAGGAGTCACATTGTTCCCACCCTAACTGCAGAGACTGGGAAATGTAGAAATGTGCAAGAATATTTGGTTATTATTAACAGTGTCTGTCACAATATTTAATTTTAAAATTTCAAATAACGTTAAAAAAGGACATAAGATTTACCACAATATGACAAAGTTTAAGAGAGGTTGTAAAACACTATATTAGCAAAAAGTAATTTTTTAAAGATGCATGTACTTGAAAAAATTCTAAGAGGATATGACAATACAGATTATTGATATGAAGTAGGGCTGAGGGTGAGATTAAATAGAGTTAAAAGCATGAAACGATACCCTAAGATCTACTTACATCCTCTGATTTCCAGAGGTCCTATATTGAGACAAAAGAAAAAAAGTGGGGCTTTTAAAATGTCCCAACAGAAGCTGAGAGTTGCCACAGTTTGTTACAAGATTTTATTTGATTTATGCTGCTTACAATAAACTTCAAAGAGATTCATGCCAATGGTTCCTAAATGTCACATAAACACAACTTTATATAAACATCAGTCTGGAATTCTAGTAACCTGTACAGATCTAGTGGGTATTCAGCAGAACAAACTAGCAAAGGACTTTACTCTCAAGCCGTCACAACTGAGCATAACTTTGTCCATTTTTCTACTTACTTAGTAGAGTGCCGGTTTAATGTTTCTATTTTCACACAGCAATGTATGTTGCCCATGGTTTTACACATCAGTTTAGATTTCTCAAGAACATTGTGAATTTACGAGAGGCTGTTTTCCAACCAAGTACACTGTGCCTAGTATTGTGCTGTGTATACTCAGTGGTCTTCTATAAATGTTGGAGATTGATGCATAAGTATTGTAAGTAAAATCAATGGGAGACACACTTGAAATATGATTTTGATAAGGTATGTGCATGAAATAATTTTTAAAATGCGGCCTCATTCCTATCACTTGGATTAAGTGCATTAGCGCCAAAATGTGAGATAAGTTGTTCCCATATCATATTTTCCTATAAGTGGCCAAGAAAGATTTAAGGTAGAATAATGCTTAACCAAGTTATATTTTTCAGGTATTTGTAAAGGATGATCCTTGCTCTTGCACTTTAACAATAGGAGGGAGGGAGGGAGGGAGGGAGGGAAGGAGGGAAGGGAGGAAGGGAGGAAGGGAGGGAGGGAGGGAGGGAGGGAGGAAGGGAGGAAGGGAGGAAGGGAGGAGGAAGGGAGGGAGGGAGGGAGGGAAGGAGGAAGGAAGGGAGGAAGGAAGGAAGGGAGGGAGGGAGGGAGGGAGGAAAAAAATCTGTTTTGCACTATTTAAAGAACATTTGGTACTGTCTTTAGATCCTGGGTCTTCAACTTTGTTCTCCTTATTGCCATCCAGACAGTATAAAACCATTGACAGCAAACTATAAAATTCTTATTTGTTGTTAAACAGACAATGTGAAATCAATAGTTTTATTCATTAAGGGATGGAACCTCTGAATAAATGATTTTGTTTGGCTCTTATAAACTTATTAGCCTCTTGAAAAAGAATGAATCATCAGTTTAATTCATCAAGAAATCTCTAAGAAAGTTCAAGTTTAAATAGC